AAAGCAAAAACAATAGCTGAGATTTTGAAAGGAATTATTTAGATACTGTGGATAAATTAAGGAGTATTGCTATGTTAAAAATCCATGAATATGGGATGTCTTTCCATTTACTTAGATCTCCTTTAATTTCTTTCGATGTTGTTTTGTACATTTGAGTTTACAGGTCTTAGAAATTTTTGTCAAATTATCCACAAGTATTTTATTTATTTGCTATTAGTATAAATGTAAAGTGTTGTTGTAATTCCATTCTTAAAACATTCATTGCTTATGTATAGAATAAAATTGGTTTTTGGATGTTAATCTTTGATCCTGAAACCTTGCTGAATTCATTTGTGAGTAGAAATAATTTTTGTAGATTCCTTAAGAATTTGTACACACAATATAAATCTTCTGCAAATATCGCTTTCCTTCTTCCCTTCTAATCTGGCTAACTTTATTTCTTTTCCTTGCCTAATTTACCTCAGTAGAATCTCTAATACCTACAGAATAGAAGTGACAAATGCAAACACTTTTCTCATTTTCTTCTCTTATGCAGAAAGCATTCTATTTTTCACCATTGAACATGACATAAGCTGTGAATTTTTCACAAATGCATTTATTAGATTGATGAGGTTTCTTTCCTTCCCTAGTCTGTAAAAAAATTGTTTATCATACAAGGATAGTAAATGTTTGAAATATTCTTCTGTATTTTTTGAGATGAGTTATTCTATTGAATAAAGAATATTATTTTGATAGTTGATTTTCAGATTTTAAAACACCCTTGCATTTCTCAGATAAACTTCATTTGGTCATAGTGGATAACTATTTTTATATATTACTGGACTCAGTTTGCTAGCATTTTTATGAGAATGTCTGGGTGTATGTTTGTAAGGGACAGAATTCTATAGTTTTTATTTTCTTACAATATCATTTTATGGTTATTGTATAAGGGTATATTAGACTCAATAAATATGCTGAAAAGTGTTTCTTCCTCTTCCATTTTTTGGAAGAGTATCTGAATGATTAGTATCAGGCTTTAAATAGTTGATAGAATTTACCAGTGAAGTCGTCTGGGCTTGGACTTCACTACCAACATACAGAAATAAAAAGAATTTTAGAGAATAATATTTCTATTGTTTGAATTTGGAATGTCCCCCCAAAGCCCATGTGTTAAAGACTTGGTCCCTATCTTGGTGCTATTGGTGGGGATGGAATCTTTTAAGAGATGGGATCTAGTGAGAGGTCTTTATGTCATGAGGGGAATGCCCTTGAAAGAGATAATGAGATCCATATTCTTCATCTTCTTTTCTTTTGCTTCTGATCCATGAAGCAACTTTGTCCACTATTCACTCCTGCCATGAGCAAACTCTGGATTTGTAAGTTAGTTTTGCCAGATACAGAATGGTGGACAACCTCTGTTTTGGCACTTTTCATATATCTTCTCGCTGTCTTATGACTTCCATGACTTCCAATAAGATGTCAGTTGCTGATCTTACTGAACATTTCCTATTTGATGTTTGGCAGCTTGATTATGTTGTGTCTAAGTGAAGATCTCTGTGTTTATCCTACTTTGAACTTGTTGAGCTTCTTAGAAAAGAATAATAATAATTTACATGAAATTAGGAAAATTTTCAAAAGGTAATTCTCTTTATCTTTCTCCTTTTCTTCTGAAACGCATAGTATCGTTATGTTGGTATCACAAGTCTCTGAAGTTCTCCCGGCTCATTCTACTTCATTTTTTTGTCTTTTCCTCAAACTGAAAAATCTCAATTGCCCTGTATTCATGTTTGTTAATTCTTTCTTCTGCCAATTCAAATCTACTACTGAGAACATATAAGAATTTTTTCTTTTCAGTTATTATAATTTTCAGTTCTAGAATTTCTATTTCATTATTTTTTACATTTTATCTCATTATTTATATTCTCTTTTTGATGACTCATTATTCTCATACTTTCCTTTGATTCCTTATACATGATGTCTTCATTATAATAGTTGATTAAGTCTTTGTGTAGCAAATCCAACATCTGGACTTAGAGAATTTTTATTGATTGTTATTTTTTATCCTATGTATCAGCCATATATTCTTGTTTCTTTATTTGCCTCATAATGTTCTTCTGAAAACTTGTTATTTTAAATAATATAATGTGGTAGCTCTGGAAATCAGATTCACTCCTCCAAATTTGTTGTTGTTTTTGAATTTTGTTGTTGCTGTTTGTCATTGTTTTCTGTTGATATTCATTTGTTTGGTGTTTTTTTCTGGACTTATATTGTAAAGTCTAACATTTATAGTGTTCTACTAAATCTGGCTTTAATTAGCTTAGTGGTCAGATAATGATTAGAGATTTTCTTAAAGACCTTGAATTAATAAGGTGTTTTTACCATTTTCCAAAGAATGCTGTGTTAAAATTGGACCATGCCTTTAATGCTCAGGCAGGTGATTTGTAACTCTGTCATGGCCTTCACTTCCTGTTTTCATAGAGCCTCTAGGTCAACTTGGGATCAACTTAGGTATTTTCTGATTACATGCATAACTCTCTACATGTGTGCAGCCTTCTAAGTCTATGGAAATATATTGGAACTTTGTAAAACCCTCTATGGACATCTCATTCTCTATGTCTTCATTTTACATTTTTACCAGCTTTTCATTTACCTCAGTTGGTATGGCTGTTTCAGAAAGCTGCAATGTTAAACAATTATCATAGATTGCTTTCAACAAACACCCTGGAGATAGGACTTTTCCTATTGGGCAAACTCTGAATTTGGTCAAATAATAACCAGCCTCTGAATGGGACTTTTCCAGATTTGTTATAGAGAATTATCGGGGAAGGGAGCTTTCTGAATAGCTCTGAACTTATGCTATCTATTAGACTGCTGGTTTTCATAACTGTTGTGATTTTTAAAACTATTGGATTTCAAAGATACTGTAGAAATGGAGAGAAGAAGATAGGAATAGAGTAAGCAAAGCACCAGAAATCTTGTTGTTATTATTGAGATTCCTCTATTTTTCTTGAATAAATACCCTTAAGATACTGTAAGCATTTTATTAATTTCCAGAGTTCTGAAAAAGTTGAATTGACAGGGTTTTTTTTTTTAGTGTTTTAGTTTCTTTTACATAAGAGTGAAGTTTTAGAGGTTCCTACTCTGTGGATCACAATCTCCCCCAACCCAAGCTATATATAGCTTTATATTTAACATGAATTGAAAGTTTTTGATATACATCAATAATGAAATGCTACATAAATTATGATATATATCATATAACAAAATCTTATACCACTGCTGCCAAAGAGGTAGAAAGTGGAAGTTTTATGAAAGCATGACTGATAACTGAAAAAACATTTTGTATAAAAATATAGATTCTGTGAGTGTGTGTGCATGTGTGTGTATGCGTGGATGCCTGTGTGTGATCAAAGGGGAAGACCTGATACTAACTCATTTTACTATTAAGCACATAGTATTTCGCTCTTGGGAGTGGGTGAGCCTGGAGCACACAGTCAACAAATAAACTTTTAAATCTAAGTCTCCTAAAAAAGAAAATATGAAGGAATTTTATTTCATTGCTTGTGTTTTTATTCTCCAAATTTACCCTGTATTCGTTTTGTAATAAATGATATTTAAGAAATATCTCAACCACCTCAAGATCTTACTTGATCTAAAATGTTTCAAATGGGTCTCACTTAATTTGGGAAACCTTGCTGTCAAAGCATTCACATCCATTTCCCTTTTCCATTGAACACTGAGTAGCAGCCCACACACCTAAATTTCAGTAGCAAATACTTTGAGTGGTGAGACAATTGTAGCAGGACCCCCTTTGAAAATCTCATAAAAACCATGTATTGTCTTTCCAGAAAAAAAGTACACATTCACACTCTTTTTACACACACACACACACACACACACACACACACACGCACACACACACGTACACACACACGTACATACAATATTTGGTACCAGGGATTGAACCAGAGATGTTAAACCACATCCCCAACCCCCTTTTTAAAAAATTTTTATTTTGAGTCAGGGTCTCACTAAGTTGCTTAGGGAGGCTGGCTTTGAACTTGCAATCCTCCTGCTTCAGACTCACAAGTCTCTGGGATTATAGGCATGCACCGCCACACCCAGTGTTTATAATTTTTAAGCATTCTGTCAATGCTTGTGAATGTGTATAAACAGCATACCTTCACACTATGAAACGCATAAAGACAGGACAAAGATCTGGTAACTTCAAAGCTCAGACATATACAGAGAAGGGGGAAAACCTAGAGGGAGAGTGTCTTTCTCAAGGTCTTTCTGTGATATGGTAACAGATATGAGCCACATCCAGGTCTGCCAACTTCCAGGTCAAGTTTATTTCCCAAGTTACCCAGAATCATAGAACAAATGATGGTTTTCTTTAGGTGCTTTAGACAAACTCTCATTATTGTGGTTTCTCTACCTGTCTCTGACACTCAGAGCTGATTCCAAGAATCCTTGGAACAAGAAAGAGGGAAACCTGTTCCATCAGCCAATGGGCATTTACAAGACGTAAGTGGTTCCTCTGTGCCCAGCCTGATCAGAAGCACCAAGGGGTCACAGTGAAAGCCCAATGTACAGGACTAACGATCCAGGTGTAAGGGAAGAAGTAGTTCATAACACAGTTCTGAAGCAACCAGGCGATGAGTAGAATATAAACACCAGTCCAAGAAAGGAGAATAGAGAACGTGGCACAGTATAGATACAAGGCAGACTTCATGGAAGAGGAAAGGGAATCAATGGTTGAATAGAAATTGGGGAAAAGAATAAGAGGTGTTTGTGGAGAGAGGAGGCAATGAGCACCATATAAGCCAAGACAAGAAGAAGGGAAGAAGTACAGATGGAAACAGGGGGTCGAGTCTAGCACGAAGGGTGTGAATGGCTTTCTCACATAAATACCTAGGCTGCAGGATGTCTGCATTCTGCAGCACCAGTTTAGGTGTTCCTGTCCCTGGGCCAGCCCAGAAGCTAACGTGTCTCGTGTGTGTCTGTTTGGATCTCCACAGCTACCATTCGCAGAAGGCCTGTACCACTTTTATCACAATGGTCTTGCAAAGGCCAAAAGAAGACGCAGCCTGCATCACAAGCAGCAGCTGGAGAGAGACCCCAGGGTGAGTTCTCCCTGGATAACTGCCTCCCAATCTCCACTGGTACCACTGAGCTCACTCAGTGGGAACAGAAGAGTAGGCAGGGGCTTCTGAAGTCAAGGCATTTAATGGATTATGAGAGAATAAATGGGTCCTTTGCAAAGAGTGGCACTAAGGCCTCTCAGCTCCTGTCTTGTGCATAACAAATAATCCTAGGCCCCTTATAGGGCTGGAAGGGAAGAAAACAAGGACACCACCCCTTCCCTGGCTGTCCTGTCCTCAGTTTTTGTGTGAGAATTTTGGGTTGCATGGGAATATGTTTTGGCCTGTGGTGAATGGGAAAAACACCAAGAAGTTTAAGCAGTTTATTGAAAGTTTCTACTGATGAATCCACATGCTTTGCAGAGATTGCCATCACCCATATTGTGAGTGGGCCAATAGACAATCGGCTCTCCCAACCGGTGGTGGGCTCCTTGGTATCCATGCATGGTTGCAGTAGATACCATTTCAGACTTTCTTTCCACCCCGTATTTTCTCACACCAACCTAATCTACCATGGTATCTCAACTTTCTGCTTGATGCTCATGACCCCAGCTTTTGTTTTTGTTTTTTAATCTTCAATCTTTATCTTACTCTTGAACTTCTTACTCTCTTGAACTCCAGGTGTCATTTCTACTTCCTCTAATGCTCAAGCTTGATTTTCCTCCAACCAAATGTACCATATAAGTCACAAGGCAGCTCCCCTCCCAGTGTTCTTGCTCGCTGCTTTTCAGAATAGAAACTTGGATCATCATTGAATCCTCCCTCTTCCTATCTTTCACCAGCACTGGGCTCCTGTGCACTGATCCAAATGAGTGGATCTGATTTCTCTTAGGCAACTTACAAAGACAGAAAGTAACACCCAAAGCAAGTTGCTTTCTATACATTGAAGGCAATATAACCTCTTTCCCAGGACTCTTGGGAAAGAGCTGGTGGAAAGTGGGTCAGATGTTTGAGTCAGAAATTTGCAGATGAGAACTCTTTTGAACAAATGGAATCTGGAAACTCATTCTTGTGTGACTTTTCATGTGAACATTTTTTTTCTGCATTTAATTTAGGCTTTAATTAAAGGAATTCACCAACTGACAGGCAGGCAATTTTTCTCTACCTCCGCAACCCAGGTCTTCCAACATGGCCTAGGGTGGAATTTCTGTTCTGAGAAACTACTTCGTTATTGCTTTTGCAGTAAGAGGCCAACTGGCTGGTGCTGCCAGCCAATGCCAACCATTCTTAAGGGGTCTGTTGCAGAAATTGGCAACACTACCTGTGAGATAAGCCTTCTTTTTCATGTAATAATGGCCTTGGACTTGGCTGTACCAACTCATTGCCTGGGGATACCCTTGATCTTGCCTGTCTCATCTGTGAATCCAAAGTGGTCCCAAGAGGCAAAGATCACTGTGGTGCATTGTGATACTGATGTTTCCCTACATTTCAACTATGCCCTCTGATCTTGCCTTTCATAGCCAATTATTTTCCTTTCATTTAGATATTTTCTTAAAAGTCCCATGGTTTCTCTTCTTCCATGATCAAAGATATGGCCCCAAATTCACTCAGAAACACATAAAAGGAAACCAGAGACAGAAGGAAAGAGATGCTTAACAGACTGGGACTGAGAAGGAGAACTGAGAAAAGTGAAACTAAAAAGCCATTGTTTGGGTCAGAGAGATTATTGGGAGTAGGCTAAGATTTTCTTATTTCAGGGCTTTTTGAAATAATCTATGAAATCCTGATTCTTGTATTATAGAGTAATGTTTTCCAAAAGAGAGGAAAATAAAGGCTGGGGTCATAGCTCAGTGGTAGAGCTCTTGCCTAGCATGGGTGAAGCACAGGGTTCAATTCTCAGCACTGCATATAAATAAAAAATAATAATAATAAAAAGATCCATTGACAACTAAAAAAAATTCTAAAACAAAGAGGAGAAAATAAGATGGGTTGGATAATAAACAGGAAGATCAGGCGGGCTGTAGTAATTTTAATCAATGGTTTTTCTTTTCAAAACATTTTCTATTATCACTAAAAATGCACTCATCCCCAGTTCATCACCCATTTAAGAGTCTTGGTACCTGTACTTAATAGAAGTAATCATCTGCCCTGTCCATGAAGACCACAAGAAGATAGTAAGGAAACCTTCTTATCAAGGTTAAATATCAGAGATAATGTCAAAAATAAACTCATCCTAGGAAGATAGATCAGGAAGAAAAATCTCCTAATTCTTTATAAAAAAAAAAAAAAAACGATGAGTACTTTTCCCCAAAATATTAGACTGAAGCCCACACCTCTCCTGCATGATGTTATTAAGGCATCAAATTTTGGCTTCCACTGTCAACAAAATATGGCAACGACTATCCTTAAACATTGACTAGGAACAGTGCAAGGGTAGAAATATAAGGACTCTTCCTTGTGGGCTTGTCAACTTAAACAAAAGGGAAAACATGTCTAGTTTGGGGTTCCCAAGCACATTTCAACAGATTGCAAAAAGACAAGTGTATACAAACGTAGAAAGAAAAGGGGAAGGGAAAAGTAACCAGAAGAAATGTTGACCTAGGCTTTTCTCTCTTAAGTAGATGTTGTGGGTAATGCTTTATAAGCCAAGAACGCAAGATATTTTATCATTCTCTGAAATACGTTGTCTCCTAGACCTACCAACTATAACTGTGCATGGAACCTCAGCTCAATTTCCTTCTGCCGTCTCTGCACAACTGTCTGGCCTTTCTTATTGTCCATGGGCTTGTGAAGTCCCCTTACATAGCCCAAGGAACCTTTTGCATAAGTGCAAGATGATCTGAGCAGATCATCAGGACTGGACCTACTTATGAAATGTTTTGCCCAAAGAAACCACCAAGATCAGCTATCAACACAAGAAATAAAAAGAAAAAAATGGAAGGCCAAGGTGGCATCTTATTTTGTTTTTGACTTTAGAACAGAAATTTCAATGATGTCTCCCTCATTTTAGCATCTGATTTTTATGTTTAAGGTAAAATAGGGGGAAAAACTAGAAAAGATTTATAAAGTGCTGCTTTCAATATGTTTATATTTGCTTATCAATATGCAGGGATGTAGATTGTTTTAAAGGTACTCTTGTCTTTCTTTCTGCTTAAAAAGTTAGTATGTTGCTGAGCATCATCATTTAGACACTAAAAAAACAATAATTGCATCTTGTTTATTTCTGAAATATCTTTACATACTAGGTACCTGAGTGAATAGTAGCTGCTCAGTAAATGATTGTCAAATGAATACATCATTAATAATTTTTCCCCCGCATTTCAATACATGAAATAGTATTTTTCTCTTCTTGTGACCCTATTCTGAAATATACATCCAGGAAACAGTATAATCTTCTCTCTAGCTTCTCTGTTAGACACATTCATAATCATAGCTAAGAGAAACCAATTGCCATTTCATTACTTCCAAGACTTATCACTAAGAATCCCATGGAGAACCAGTTCTTGATTTCTAAAGTCCAACATACTCAGTTCCTGAACATATTCAGTCATCATACAACCACCAAAGTCATGACAATGTGTCTAGAAAGTTTCAATAGCTAAAATAATTCGAAGATGTAATAAACACCAAACTGGGATGAAATAATAAAACTAAAAATGCTGTCTCTACACCAAGTTCAAAAACAAATATTCTCCACCCAAAAATCTCTGTGAGATTTGTTAAACTTTAGCTGGAACAGGGTCAACAGATCTCAAAGCCAAACCTAATTGTAGTCCACAGTGGATATATTATTCTACATAAATTCTACAAGGACCTGAAAAGTTGCTGAAGATTAGATTTATTTAAGATAATATTTGTTTCTAATTCTGTTGAACCCTACTTGTACATCTGAGATAGTGTTGAAATTAAATATAATTTGAAAAAGAAAAAAAACCATAAATAGAAAGAAGATCAGTAGAGTCTTAGAGGGAGAGGGATGATAGGAGGGGAAAAGGAAGCACTGGGGACAGAAACGGAGCAAATGATATTCCATGCATGTAAGATTAGGTCAAAATGAGCCCTGCAATTATGAAATACTAGAATGCACTCATAGAAGCATTTAAAAAAACGGAGGAGTCACATCGTTCTATGAGTAACACACACTAGTCAAATGGAAGCCAAGTAATTTAGTTAAGAAATAACCTAAATTTACTTTGTTGAGGGAAATTACATTTGATTCAAGTATTACAAACATTTATTTCTTCTTCTTAGCAATCTTACTAGGCCATGCAATTATCCCTCAAAATCATTTTAAACCTGTTCCAACTTTACAAGACAGGAACCTCTATCTGTCCAATGAGAATGTTCCTTGTTTCCCCATCTGAAAGAATGGATGATAGTTTTGTGTGTTTGACATTTAGGAGCTGTTCCTTTTTAGCTTCTTTTCTCTTCCAAATGTATCCACATGTTTAAATGGCAGTCACATGATCCTGCAAGGACCCATTTCTATTCCTTAAGGATCTATTTCTGGAGGGTTTTAACCACTAAGCCACATTTCCAGTTCTTTTTATTTTGTTTGTTTGTTTGTTTTGAGACAGGGTCTTGCTAAGTTGCTGAGGCTGGCTTTGAACTTGCCTCAGCCTCCTGAGCAACTGGGATTACAGGCCTGTGCCAGCACACCCAGCTATTTGTGGAGGTTTTATATACTACAATAACCCACAAAAGTTAGGTTCACTGGATAATGTAATCACTTCAAACATTTTATACCTTGCCCCCATAAAAAACAATATTTGCAAAAGACAACTTTTTTGTTCTTTGAAATTAATTAGACGTGATTTATGTTATTTGCTTATAAAGGTCTAAGTTAATGAGTGAACCAGACACTCTTCTTCTGCACAATTTGATACTATGGTAATTAATATTGTTTTTGAAAAAGAGATTAATTATCATGGTTGAAGCTCAGATGGTTGACAGAGACTAGGAATGGCTTGTATTTGCTGCACATACTTTTCTGAACTTGCACAAAATCTCACTCAGTGCAGTCATTTAACTATAATTGATGA